TCACAAATTCTTGCAGCTGCTTTGGTACCTACTCCCACCCACCTCATGTTCCCTAGGCCGGCCGTCATTTCTTTTTTTTAATATAGATTATTATTCAATTATGCATGAAAGAGAACAAATGAGTGAGACTCCAACTAGTAAAATTTTTTAGCAATCATGCTCCGCTGTCAGGAAGGGTGACAGCACGCGTTAGCGTGAGTTAAGGAAAGTATCAAATTCTTCTTTACAAAAGAGCTTAGTTCAATTTTTAGGATGTATTTCAGTCACGTTATTTTAGAAGAATTTATTTTGGAATAATAAATTGACGGAGAATGTGTGGTTGAAAAAGAAGGAAAATTTATTGACATGATAAAAAATCTTATTATATTGAAGAATATGTGGTTAAAATTGTGAGTCACTTTATCTTTCGTTTTCTCCAAATACGATAAGTTCTCTGCATATCAAACCTCAAAGACAGACCAAATTACAAGATCGCGAACTAATAGTTCAATAAATGGCCAACCCGAAGATATCATGTTTTGAGGAACGTATTCCAACCTCCCTCACAATGGGTTATCTGACCTTAGAGACGCCCTGCTTCTAACCTCTGTATCCCAATGAGCATACAATGTCTTCTCTCCAATCACGTATGAGTAATGCTATTTACCTCCACTGAAGTTGTAATGTGGCGTTGGTGTGTTCGAGTAAGAGTAGTCGAGGTCTGCTTTTAACATAATTAATAATAATAATGTAATACAATAAAAAATCATTAATTACCCATGTTCTAAAAAGCTTGTCTAGGCTCGAACCTCAAGCAAAATGACTCGTTTTACGTTTAGACGCTTTCTTTTTCAATCCCTTACTCTCTTGTCTTCTCTAGGCACGCTTTATTAATTTTTTTCCTTTTATTTCCTTTTATTAAATTTTTTTTATTTGACTTTAGTTTATTAATTTTTAATTTTTTAAAAAAACTTTTCATTTGACTTTAATTTCAAGTTTTTTTTAAAAACAATGACTTTATCTAAATAGTTAAATAAAATTTAAATTATAAATCTATCTACACTATGTAATTATGATTTTGAAACTCATTATTTTGTTGCAAAGCATGTTTGAAGTTCTTAAAAATTAATTAAATAGGATTTGTTTAGTTGAAAATTGAAATAAATAACTAATGATAGGAATTATTAAGTAAATATAGTATTTTATATGTATTATTTTTATTATTAAAATTTTAAAATAATATTAAAAATAAGAAAATGTTTTTTTACGCCTAACTCTTGTCCAGGCTCATATAACTTCGAAAAGTTTGAAATTTCGCGTGTACGCATAGTCACGTTTTACGCTAATTACTTAGAGCTTGTTTGGGAGAGATTTTTTAGGGAAGAATTGATTTTGAATAGTGATATGATGGGAAATGTGTGGTTGAAAAAGAAGAAAAAATTATTGATGTGATGGAAAATATTATTTTATTGAAGAATGTGTGGTTGAAAATGAGAATTGATTTACTGTAGAAAATGCTAATCCCTCCCAAACAGGACTTTAACCAGTTCATTCTACTAATCAATTATTTTTACATCATAACAAAAGCTGCTTTTCTAAAAAGCCGATAATATCCAACCAAACATTATATTTTCCTAGAACAGTTGGTAAATCTAATTCCATTGAAAAAGATTCGAGATAATTGTCTTGCCGCAGAAATTGAAAAAATTAGCATAGAGATTAAGGGGTCAACGTGGAAGATTTTGAAAGAGCCACAAATTTTTCGAAAAGCGACATTTATGTGTCGGAAACAGATGAGACCTCACTGCGGTCATATATCAAAAAAGTGTGCGGATTTGCTTTTGTAACTGTTCATCCGCTGTGTCTTGTCGTGTCAAACACCGTCACTGTTATATTTGACGGAAACACGTCTTATCAAAATTGGTGCCGTGGTGGTTAGCCAATAGGGGCTCAGCATTACCAGTTAGCTTCCTCGCTCTTCTCAATCATTGTTCCAATTTTAACGGCGCCGTCAAATTTTCTCACGTTAAGTTATAATTATTTTATTCCTTTCATTCGAATTAAGGAACATAAAAATTGCAAACAAAAGTATCAATTCACAGGTACCATAAAACAAAGTGGACCTTCACTTAAAAATAAAGAATAAATTATAACTTAGCTACTTTTCTCGATTAAAAAAAAAAATGATTTACCCCTAAATTATTGAGTCCCTTCTTTTGTTTAGCTATGTTTGAAATCAATTCTTTAAAAATTCATTTTTTTTTTCAAATTCGTTATTTATTATATATATATTCGCCTAATAAAATAATTTGACACTTAAATTAAAAAATTTCTACTTTTTAACCATTTATTTTCTTAAAAAATATTATTATAAAATCTATTTTTTTTTAAGAAATAGGATCAAACAACTTATCCCCTATTTGACAATCATTAAAATAAATCTTTTTTTTCTTAAATTCATTTCTAGTTGCACATTCTCACAATAAAATAATTTTCAGCTTAGCACCTATTTGATAATCATTATTTTAAAAAATGGAGTCTTAAATTTGATTTTCTGTAGATGTGTGGTTAAAAAATTAAAAAAAATTGAATAAATGTATAAAATATTTTATTAAATAAATGTACAATTGAAAATAAATAAGTGGATTAAAGAGTTTTGTTTTACACGAAAGAAAATGTGCTTAATTTCCTAGCAATTTTCCTTGATCTAGACAGGGACCCACCAAAAGCCGCAGCCGCGCTTTCACTTGCGACGCCCGCGTCTAAGTGGGGTCCATCTACTGTCTTCTAACTTACTTTTCGGCAATCAATCAATTTTTAAAAGAATCATAAAAATTAAAATGAGGGCGGCCATGGGACACGTGATTGCTGATGGATTAATTAGGAATGTATTAGTCAACACAGCTTATCCCTTGGATCAAAAATTGAAATCTCGTATCATTCGGTGTTGCACTGTCGGTCTCCAATCTATTATTCTATTTTGTAAGTTAGTCCTCAGTTTTTAAACAATTGCTTCAACCTTTGGTTGTAGCTAAAAAGGGTCTTCACTGTAAAAATTCAGTTATGCCCATGTTAAATTATCGCGTGATCCTTTGTTAAACAAAACCTGAACTAATATTCTTAATTTAATTGAGACATTTTTTCACGGAAGCAAAATGACAGTTTAATAAAAATTTGGGCTCTTTCAATAATTGAGATACAAATGTGCAAGAAAATTGAAAGAAAGACCGACTCACTCCCTCTTACAAATAAAAAATTAACTACTTAACTTGTCAAGGGAGACATTGTGAATGCGTTAGAGACTAATAGTGCAATCTTCACATCCTAATTCCCCATGGCATGTACACATTAAAGACTAATAATGGAGTTTTCCAATTCTAATTCCCACGGCATGCTTATAAACAGCGTTATAGTTGTTGTACTCGTGTACGTGAAACATGTTGAATTAAAGTTATGATGAAATGGATGGATAGTTCTGCTTACAATGAGTTTAATCGATTACAATGAGTGTTGTAATACTCAATTTGGGTGGAGTAGCTTGGTGATGTAATATCCATGGAGGAAGACTCTTTTGGGGTTAGGAGTATAAAGAGTGCATGGACCCCGGTCAACTTGGGCATCTCCCGCGGTTAACCTCCACCCATCACTGAGGGGCCGAGGATGGGTGGTCCAGGACATAATCTGGTATAAGTTGAGATACCTGGATATCAAAAAAAAAAAAAACTTGTATATCACGTATAGTCTATATGATTTTGATCTGCAGGATTTAAAAAGCAACGACAACTCCCTAACCACAAGTGTAGCCACGCCAATTAATCGCCATGCCCCTACGTTGAGCCCATTTATCATGGTTGGCTACAATTCTGCTTCTCGCATAGTTAGTCACGTTTAATTAAATACCATAATATGTTTTTGATCTTGTCTTGATCAAATATGACAACCTCCTTGCAATGATATAATAGTACATTTCCAAACATTTTACGTTAGAAAATCTAAAGTTACTTCATATTTTTCAATCTAATAATCGCTTTTTAACAAGTATTTATGTGCAAAATGTACCTACTCTTAATTATTTTCTTTCGAGTAAATAGAATTAGAGGATTAACAATCTTTTTACACAAGCTGCAATCAAGTGCCCAACCTATCAAATGGAGAAATTGGCTCCTAAACGATTCCATTTTTATATTGCAGCCGAAGGCCTAGAATGAGAAATTGGTTATTGAACAAATCAAGAAAGTTTCTTCTATCAAGATATCAAAATTTGTATTGGTCTGGTTTACTTCAAAATATGAGTCATGGCAAATTGGTATGTCTGCTAAAATAATTGAAGTGGGATCAAACTTCTCATTCTTGTAGGTTGGAGATTCGATTGCACCTGGCATGAAAGGTCGATGACTCCCTCTACTATTTACAACTTTAATTTCTGCTCGTGCTTTTTTTTTTTTTTTTTCCAGTTATTTTATTATTATTAATTTGATAAAGACCTAAAGGTATAGGCAATATGTATTTTGTCACGTTACATACGTATAACAAAATCCTGGCCCCAACGGGACTGCATTGCACCACGTGGCGCTCAATCCATTATCATTGATAGACTTCTTAATCAACATTCAACAAACACACTATGTCCGCACATACGTGGACTACACGCTCCGGCACTATACCGGAAAAACCAACCTTCTCACAGCCGTTCGTTCTGTTCAGACGAGTTATAAATCATATAAAATTTAACACAATCGTAAAATTGAGGAGAAATTTAGAAATAGTATGTGTTTTATGTAAGCTAAGAAAATACAGAATTACAGGATCTGAAACAGATAGAGCCACCAGTTAAAGAACAACAGCCGAAAACCTATTGAACTTGCTTATAGCTGCTGCAAACAAAAATATAATTAATTTCACTGGAAGCATCAATCTCCAAGTCATCTAATCGTTTTGTGTCTTTCCTCGTCCATAATTTTGCAGCAAAAAAAAACATAAAACGGATAAAGGGAGCTAAGTAAACAAAAAGGAGACCGTAATTAGTTATTCTCAGGTGGTGGTGGGAGGTTGAGATCAAGACGAAGACCATTGTTGGGTTTCAAGTCGACAACAGCAGATGAGTTGGATTCACTTTCGGATCCAGCGGCGCTGCCGCCTTTAAGGAAATCCAGAGTCATAAGGCTGTGATCATTGATGCGGTTGACGATATCTTGCTTTGACAAGGCATCAAGATAGAGCATCTGGGATTGCATCGGTAAAATTCCGACGAACCTTCCGGCGAGTTGTCCGGGAATCGGCGTGGGGCGAAAGTAATGGTGGTTCTGGAATGGAAACCTTTTGGATCCACCCAAAGTGAGGTCGAAAGGAGAGGAGTCCATCACCGCCAGCGAGTTATCATGGCTGGCTGATTCGACGGTGCTGCTCTGGCTAGGACTCCGGCTCTGGATATTTTTCTTGCTAACAAAAAGATCGTTGCTTTTCTTCAGATTCTCAGCATTCATGTTCAGATCCGGAGACGGGAAATTGGTCTTTGCCTTGGTGCCGCGGAATCGTCTAGCGGCGGTGTCGTAGGCTCTGGCAGCTTCCTCTGCCGTGTCAAAAGTACCCAGCCACACGCGACTCTTTTTCCCAGGATCCCTTATTTCCGCCGCATATCTTCCCCACGGTCTTTTCCTCACCCCCCGAAAATGCACCTCTTTTATCCCACCACCTGCTTTCTCTGCTGCAACCGCTTTCTCCCTCGGCGCCATCACTCCTCTCCTTTTATGTGTGTATATATATATATATTTTCACCACCTAACGGTATCACCGAATGTATGCATACACGATCAATTATCTGTTTGTTGAAGGATTATAAAATAGGGTATGGGATAGGGGGCGGATAATGAGTGATTATATAGAGGCGAAGGTGGTGGTACAGTCTGTCAAGTTTGGTTGGCCTTGACTGATGAATGGGGAAGTGGGACTCAACAGGTTGATTTGTACAACGTATGTAAAACTTTCATTCGGCTCGTATTGTCGTACAATGTATATAAACGACAAAGTGTTATATACTTGCTCGTAAATACTGTTGTTGATTTTTTCTTTTGTTTTCCCTTGGGTTGGATGTTTCATTTTTCGTCGCAATGGGCTGTTAAATTTTTTCTTCTTTTGAAAAATACACGGTATAAGTCAACGAGTGCTTCGTGCGAGCGTGTGAGATGGCGCATTTCTCGATTGCTTCCTGCTTATGGTGCACGCTTTTGAAACCGATAAGATTTTGACACCATACTAACGAAAGCCGGCATTCCAGCCCAAGGTTATGGCAAAACCAGACATCAGTATCAAATTTTGGGCGACAAATAAAAATCCTCCACGCTCTCATTAGTTAATAATTACACGCGCTCTTAATTTTCTTATCTACAACAACGTGTGGACCCTACTTTTATATTAATTTTTATTTGGGTTTGGCTGATTAATCAAATCCTAAAACAGTATAATGGTTGCAATATATTATTTTACGACTGATGATTGCTCCTGTTGAAATGAATCAATTATTAGAATCCAAACCAAAGGGCAAGTTTGTAAACAATGTTAGCAGTCAATTAAAGTAGTGTTCGGTTGAGGTTAAAATCGAATTAAAATTGAAAAATTAGCTGTTACTGTTGATTTGTATTAGACGAGTGAGACCCAATAATGATTATATTTTCAAATTTAATTGGATTTTAATATTTACCAAACGAGTAATTTTCTCTAAATTTGTAGACAAAATTGAAAGTGTGGTAAAATGTAAAATTAAATTGTATCTAATGTCCAATGAATAGTCAATCAAATCTAAAGTTATCTCCAACAACTTTTGTCTGCTTAATATCTTCCTTGCGTATCTTTTATCAACATTAAAATAAAAATAAACACAAAATTTAATATTCAAAACAAAGACAAAATCAATTAAAATTACCGAGTCAACATGTTTAATATAACATCTACATTAGATCTATGTACATATATCATTATATTGTCTATTTTTTTTATTGCTATGTCCATTTGACGGAATCCTTATCATCTTACATTGAATATATATATTTAAATATCATCTATTTTAAATTATATGACATTTTTTATCAGAATTATTTTCAATTCAATCAAGCTACAGCTCATTCAGCTCACTCTCAGCTCACTATCAGCTCTCCGGCTCTTCTTCTAGTTACTTCTGGATTCTTCTATTTTTCATTTAATTGTAATTCAGTTCAGTTAGTTAGATGCTTATAGTGTTAGTTCATTTTGGCTCCATTATCCTTCTATCTAATTATATGCTTACTCTATGCCTCAATTAATCAGTTGGATAGAATTCCATTTCTTTCTTCTCCATTGCCGTGATTCTGATATGGTATCAGGGCGAATCACTTCATTCCTTATTTGATTTCCAATTAAATTACTTCATTCGATTATACAATGGAGCCTGGAAATCAAGCTGAAGCACGGTAGATTGTGAAGTCAAATTTTGATGATCCTGCCAATCCATTTTTTCTCCATCATTCCGATAGTCCCGGTTTGATTCTAGTATCTCAGCAGCTCACTGGAGATAACTACGCCTCCTGGAGCCGCGAGATGATTATCGCACTATCAGTTAAGAACAAGTTGGGGTTTGTTGATGGATCGATTTCCAGACCTGAAAATGGTGAATCGGATCTGATGAATTCATGGATTAGGAATAACAATATAGTTATTTCTTGGATTCTTAATTCAATTTCGAAAGACATCTCAGCTAGTGTAATCTATGCTACTTCCGCATGCGAAATTTGGAATGATTTGAAGGACAGGTTCCAGCAGAAAAATGGACCTCGCATCTTTCAATTGAGGAAGGAATTGATGAATTTGTCTCAGAACAATGACACAGTAAGCGTGTACTTCACTAGACTCAAGACGATTTGGGAAGAACTTACAAATTATCGTCCCAACTGTAGCTGTGGGAAATGTACCTGTGATGGCGTGAAGCAGTTAAATGAACATTATCAGATGGAACATATAATGTCATTTCTTATGGGGCTTAATGACTCCTCCTCTCAAGTTAGAAGGCAAATTTTGCTGCTGATCCATTGCCTCCAATTAATAAGATTTTTGCCTTGATTACTCAGGAGGAAAATCAGAGAAAAATAACGAATACTGATGCTTGTGATGCTTCGAGTAATGCTGTTGCCTTCGCAGTAAAAGCTGATAACAACAGATTCACAACTGGAGCTACCAATTATGGCCCCAATATAAGACATGGATCTATTGATGCCAGCAGATCAATGGCTGGATCTGCCAATTATGGCAATAACATGAGGTATGGAGCTGCCAGAAATTTCAAAAGGAACAAGGCTTATTGTTCTTTTTGTAAAATTCATGGACATTCAGTTGATAAGTGCTATAAGGTTCACGGCTATCCTCCTGGATTTACGATGAGGCCAAGGGATAACTATGGATCGAACAATATAAATCAGCTTTCTGCCTCTACTCATGTCACTGCAGCGAGTCAGAAAGAACAGAAGAAAGAAGTTGTTGGAAGTTTTGTCCAAAATTTGAGTCCTCATCAATACCAGCAGTTGATGGCAACGTTGTCTAACCACCTTACCTCAGGCACCAGCATCAGTTCAAATGATGGACATGATAGCAACATTAACTCCTGTGTTGTAGGTAAATGCTATTCCATATCCATGGAAACTAATCTATCATTCAATGATATTTGGATAGTTGACTCTGGAGCAACTAAACATATATATTCTACTGCAGCAGCCTTTACTTCGATGAGAGTCATTGAAAATTCGATTGTTACCTTGCCAAACCACACACAGATATCAGTCCAAATGTGTGGTGATATTAAACTAAGTTCGAACATTATGTTGCGTGATGTTTTATTTGAGCCTTAGTTCAAGTTCAACCTCATCTCTGTTAGTGCCTTGACACTTGACTCACAACTCACCATTAGTTTCTTTGATGATCATTTCCTTATTCAGGAATTCAGAACTAGGAAGATGATTGGCAGGGGTGATCGGGTGTAGGATCTATATGTTCTTGACATTAAATCTTTAAATTCTGTTTCAAATACTTATGTAAATCACGTATCTGTGCGTGTTTGGCACAATAGGTTAGGGCATCTGTCTTTCAAACGGTTGGATTGGTAAGGATCATTTACTTTGTGATGTTACAAAACTCAATAAAAATCTACCTTGTTACATATGTCCACTTGCTAAACAGAGGATGCTGTCTTTCATTTCACACAATCATGTTTCTGCAAATCCTTTTGATCTTGTACATGTTGATATTTGGGGACCATATCACGTCATTTCATCCACGGGTTATAGGTTTTTCTTAACCTTGGTTGATGATTCATCTAGATTTACTTGGCTTTATCTGTTAAAAAGCAAATCAGATGCAAACGCTGTCATTCCCAGGTTCTTCAATATGGTGTAAACACAGTTCAATGCCAAAATTAAGATCCTAAGGTCAGACAATGCTCCTGAGTTGGCTCTCACAGAATTTTTAGCAGAAAAATGCACTTTACATCAATTTAGTTGCGTTGAACGGCCACAATAGAATTCTGTAGTTAAGCGCAAACATCAGCACCTATTAAATGTTGCTAGGGCCTTGTACTTTCAATCACGAGTACCATTACAATTCTGGACTGAGTGTGTATTAACAACCACTTTCCTTATCAATAGAACCCCTTCTTCTCTCCTAAAACATCGAACTCCGTTTGATTTACTTTACAAAAAGCCTACAGACTATTCCTCATTAAGAGTTTTTGGTTGCTTGGCCTTCTCTTCTACTCTATCTGCTCATCGTAATAAATTCCAGCCAAGAGGCAGAACATGTGTATTTCTAGGATATCTTCCTGGGGTTAAAGGTTACAAACTATATGATGTTATCACCAAACAAATTTTCCTGTCTAGGGATGTTGTATTCCATGAACATATTTTCTCTTTTCATACAGTTCATAGCCAAGAACATCTCATTGATCCGTTTCCCAACCCGGTGTTGCCAAATCCCACCTTGACCTCTTCACAACCTGTTGTTGATCAGGAGGTTTCAGATTCTAGTGACCATGTCCTTGGTCTTAATTCTCCTATTCCTGATCTTCATGCTCATTCTTCATCTCAATCAAGACCTCAGGATTCTTTATAATCTATTGAGGATCATATTCCATTTCAGACAAACTCTCATGAATCTCAGTCTCCGAGTTTGCCTATTGCTGAAGCCACCTCTACCATCAACATTAGAAAGTCTCATAGAGTCCTTCAACCTCCTAAGTACCTTCAGGATTATCACTGCAATATGCTCTCCCACAATCTACAAACACTTTCTCGGTCACCTCACCATATTACCAAATTTATGTCATACTAGAGGCTTTCACCCGTTCATAAAAATATGGTATTGAACATCTCTTCCAACACTGAACGAAGCACTTTTCTTCAAGCTCAGAAATCTCCAGAATGGTGTGATGCCATGAAGCTAGAACTTGATGCAATGCAACAGAATCATACATGGTATGTGGTCCCTCTACTATCTGGTAAGCAATCTGTGGGCTGTGGATGGATCTACAAAATAAAGTACAGATCTGATGGCACAATTGAGAGACATAAGGCTCGACTAGTGGCAAAGGGGTACACTCAACAGGAGGGTCTCGACTACTTTGACACCTTTTCTCCGGTAGCAAAGATTGTTACTGTCAAAGTTCTCCTTGCCCTTGCAGCCATTCATAACTAGGATATGGTGTAACTCGACGTGAACA